AAATATCTAAGCTACACTGATTGATCAATCCAAATTACACTCTTCACCTTGATGAAGGTAAAAATGGACGTCCTTTTAGTTTTAACACATATCTGCAACTTTGGTAGCAAGGATTTGGTTAAGTGAGCTTTTATTTTTTATTTATTTTTCCCTCTCGTTTCTGTATGGTAGGAATCTCAATAAAAGTATGCCTCTATGATGATTCTGACCGAATGGCTGTTCGACTTAGAACAAAACTTATAGAATGGAGTAGGAAATCCCTACCTTGAAGTGAAGAACTCAAATAGAGATGATGACCAAAGACCAACGTGCTCCAAATCCCAAGTTTCTCAGATTAAAACGAAGCCCTCAACCCACTCTATCTTTTTAATAAAGGACTAAGGTTAGATACTTACCCTAGGTAGATCAATTCTTAGAGAGAAGACAAGTAGAGAGAGAGAGAGAGTTGGCTCTAGGGTTTCAAAAGAAAAGATGATGAAAAAAATCATGTTTAACCCGCTGCTGCCTACTGATATATAACAAGCCATTAGGACCTTACAGTTACACCAAAAATAATGACCATTAAACAAGAAAATGGTTACACCAAAATAATGACCATTAACTAAGAAAATGGTTATACCAAAATAATGACCATTAACCAAGTTCATGAATTCTATTTATCCTCCATTTATGACCAAGAGGTTACCAAAGTAATGAAACCCCATAAATAAATATAAGATAGTAAGGATTGGTCGCTATAATGGACCACTAATAAGGATAGTAACTGAACCACTAATAAGGATATTAAATGAACCATTATGAAAATTTAATGGACACTAACCCTTGGTTTCCAAATACAACCAACCTGTTTTAAACCTGCCCAACACAACCCAAGACTCATATACAAAGAGTAAATGATGGAAACGGGAAAAAGACAACAACACATCTACGGAACCGAGTCTGAAATACAATTAAACAATGAAGGGAAAACTGGGATCGCTATAGGCGGAGCCAGGAAATTAAGTTAGATAGGACAGTTATTAATTATAATTTGTTATTTTAAAAAAAATCATGATCAATATAAAGATAAGAATAATTTTATAATAGTGTGTAATACATCGGTGCGGGATGGTAATATTAGTTTCTAATTTTGGCACAAAAATTTACCAGGTTTCAAAATTCCTAATTTTAGAAAATAAAAACACATTTATAGCACAAAATATTATAAAATCTATTTAATTTTTATTTGACAAAATTTTTTGAACAGATCTTATTGGTTATAAATGATGTGTTTTGAACGTAAATTATTACATAGTCTTCGAGTACCATATGGTGTTGCCTATGTGATGCTCAAAATATGAGAAATCACAAATTACACTAAATAGTTTGTCAACTACTTTAAAATAATGACTTAATTATATTCAATTCATAAGATGTCGTACTACACTATTGGTTTAAACTACTACGTAAATACATTTTGTATATACCTACACAACAAAAACAAAAAAATTTCAAAATTGAAAACATTTGAAAAAAAAAAATTAGTTGATAATATTGGAAACATCTGTAAAATTGTAATTGGAAACATCTTTAAAATTTTTAGCGACCAAGATTTGGTCGCAGATCTTGAAATGACCCCGTTTTGAATGTTATTTAAGTAAATGTTGATTCAATACCGACCAAACAGTTTAGTAGGGAAAAAATTGCCCTATCACCCGAGTGAATTTTTCAAACTCTTTATACAGTCACTCCCGCGCACCACTCCTCATACGCACCTCATCGTCGATTCTCCTGCTCGATTATGTTCAACAAAGTTGCTCCTCCTCCGTCATCGCAGTCGCCTGTGTCGATTTTTCGACCAAGCATCAGCGGCACTTCGAGAAGTACTTGGGCCTCCATTGTTAGGTATGTATTTTTATCTCTGTTTCTCTCTCTCTCTCTCTCTCTCAATCTTTGTAGTTGTGTTCCATTACTCCTCTTACTCACATGGTTGCTCTCTCTTTTCGCACTTAACAGTACCACCATCACCATTTTTCTGCTACAACCAGTTCGCCTATCTTCAAACAACCCCGACATTAGGTATGGGTCCTCTCTCTCTCTGTCGCTCAATTTCTCTATTTTCCTTTGTTTTCCCTAATTGTCAAAACCAATTTTTTTGAAAATCCCTAATTTTAAAACCCTATTGAGTGAATGTTTGAAGGGATGGACTAAAATCATACTCACCAGATAATGCAAAAAATGAAAACTGATATATATATATATATATGTATATTCTTGTTTGTTCTGTAAAAAAATAGTTGCCATTGTGTTTAGGGTTCAAGTAATTTGTGGATTCTGTTGTTATTGTGCTTTTTTGGCTCAAACTGGGAATGCTTTGTTGAAGTGTTGATCACCATTATTTTGAGGTTTCATTCAACAGTGTAACAAGACTTGTATGTGCAAGTTCTAGAACTCAATTCTTCCTGTGAGGTTTCACCCATCTCTTAAAGACTTCTCAAAAACAATGTTTCCCTTATGTGTTCTTGATTGGTATTCAAAGGGTCGATCTATCTCAGCAATTTGATAAACATGGCTAGACCTCTCACTTTCGAAGTGACTAGTGTCATTGCAACACCATCTTGCAATCTTATAGGTGAGAGATAAGAATGGCAAAAGCTCCTTACTTTCCCCTTTTCAGTTCATAAGCACCACGAAAGTATCAGGGGGACTCTGGTTTCAGCTTGAATCGCCAGAGTTTCTAGCAAACCAACCAAAATAAACACGTTATACATGGTGGGATGCGTGAGGAGGTTACTGCATAAGCAGCTCTGTTCATGGCTTAATAGTAAGCCAGCTTTAAGAGCCAAAAACAACTTGGTGAAATACTTAATCAACGGCATAATACATTTCCAAACTCAGGTTTTTAGGTACGAACATATCTACAGCCAAAAGTGCTTTTACACAACTCAGAGCAATTTCAGGCTTGCTCAAAACCATGTTCAGTCATTAAAATGAAGAGGAATAGTTCTCAATTATGTAATAGTGGAAAGATCAACAACATAAATGATACAGCAGCACAAACATTTAATGTTATGTTGTTCAGTGCACACAGATGACCAAAGCTATAGCTATTTTTTGTAGTAGGTTCTTAGGTGCTACACTACTCACTGGCCTTGTAGGCCAAATGGTATTTGGTTGGTCTCTCAACTTTGATATGAGGGGCTCAATTCTTGTTGTCTTGCCTAGTCAACAAAAGTAAAAATTCCTACATATTACCTTACTTTTGTGACCTAATTATACATCTGAAAATAAGAGGAATTATTTAAATCTGACTAGGTCATGAAATAATCAACAGTTTGCAATGAAGCTATATGGCATAGGTGGTCATTTGGTTTGAAATGTTCAGTTCTTCCAGAGAAAACCTTTCGAATCATAGTGGTTATTTGGTTTGAATGCTTTGTTGAAGTGTTGATCACCATTTCGAATCATAGTGATCGACCTTTTGAATTATTATGTCTTCAACATGTGTCATTTTCTTCAGATCAAGCAGCACAGACCAAAGCATTCAATGAAATGAAGCAGACAGTCCCCTGAAATGAGTTCCCAAAAACTTGAATTATCATTATTTCTAGTACCAGAAAACTTGACTTATCAACTCTTGTTTTAATTGCAAGTTAATCCAAACATATGTCCACATACACCGAAAAGAAATTTTTTCATACTTAAATGCACGCATGCGTATGTTGTTCACTTATTCTTCTTACTTATGTATTGATGTTTATGAATGAAGTTTCTTGTGGGTGTTATTTTTGGAGTCATAAGGTGCATTGATGTTTATGAATGAAGTTTTTTCATTTGTTTAGAACCATACACATTCATAGGTCACTCAAATCATAGATTTCACCTAAACTACTTTATGAATTATAGCGTTGACAAAAACAATTAATTGTGAAAGTCAATACTTTATTATAGTTTTTGTTATCTATGTCGTCAATATCACTGGCAAATTTACATAGATGGATATATATGAAATTAGGATGCTTCATGGATGTTCATTTCTTATGTAAATGTTTGTTAATTATCAACCTTGATGTATATGTCTATACGCATTTTAAAATTTGTGCGTATCCATGTGCTCATTGTGCTCTTTGCCTTTGATTATGTTAAAATGTAACAGAATGGCTCCTGCGAAAAAGATGTGCCGTATTCCTTTACCAAAGAGGGCATTGATTGAACCATACTCATCCCCGACCGATACACTTACACCTGCTCTTGAAGGTGTTACAGCAGATGGATCTCAGACTATTGCACCATCTCCGTCTGAAAGTAATGCATTGTCAAGATCTAAGACTGTTGCACCATCTCCATTTGAAACTAATGCACGAGCTGATCCATATATGCAATATCGATGGACTGTTGCTGATCCAGCGACAAAAGGGCTGTTGTACAAGCTGTCCGGGTATGATTCAATTGCTTTCATAGTGTGGATGATGGAAACAGTCCTGTTTTAATTTGCATATAGGAGCTCATTTGTTTTCTTTGTTTACTTTGTTGGTTATGAAAGCTTGAAAAAGTCTAATTAGCTTTATTGTTGGATTAACTCTCCCATGTAATAAGATTTATTGTTGAGATACAAAAATATACATAAAACTAATTAGGATACAAGTATGTAAAAATGTATTCACTATTAAATTGCCTTTAAAATCCAAATAACAGAGCTTACTGCTAATACGTTGGAGAAGCTGTTCTTTAACTCCCATGAAGAAGGTTTTGATTGGACGAATGTTTTCCAATAAAATAAGACAAACTCATCTCTTTGTTGTCTTTTTTCTTTTTCCCTTTTGTAGCTTGAAGGCAAACTCATAGTCAGTAGCACACTTGGCTGAAATTGAATAACAATTTGGTGCATTGTTAAAGAACATTCTGGGGTTAATTTCCCTTTTAACAGTCATATTAACTGTTCCTCAATATGTGTTTTTTTTTTCATTATGGATTAGTTAATTTAATTTTTGTTTTTAATAGTCATATTAACTGTTCCTCCGTTTTTTTTTTTTCATTATGGTTCTAGCTGATGAGTTGATTAAGGTTATGGTACTCCTTAAATGATAATGGCAGCAAGGCTGGGGTTCATTTTTGGATTGCCAATTTATTTGATCAGTTATACACGGTCGGATTGCAAAAGCTTTTCAATTTTTTTCATATTGCCATTTAGAAACTAAAACAATGAAGTTTTCACTCTTTAAGGAAATTACAAATCCATCACAAGTTCGCTTCCTCTTTTCAGGTTTTAATTATGTGTGCGTAGATTTTTTAATTTTTTTTCCTGAATTGTTTGTTTTGTATATTTATGGGGGAAAATGTCCATCTATAGAGATCACTACTAATTTATTTGAAAATATTATTAGTTAATAATAAGTCATTATGTGAATATTGCAAACTCCATTATGCAGATATGATATTTTGGTATATTCGGCTAGTTTAATTTTCTTTACATGCCTTCTTACTTTCCCCATTGCCTAATAAATCTATTCAATCCTTTTATTTTTTTTCCCTTTTTCGTTCTCTTTTTTGATTGTTTAGACTGGAAAAAAAACTAAGAATTGTTATTGTTTCCTAGTAACAATACTGCTAAGAAGTATTCTTCTCGTAGATATTTGTTTGTGAAGTTACAGACTATCATCTGCCTCTCATCTAGCCAGCTGACAGAACCCCAGCCAGCTGACAGAACCACGTAATTGTCATGCCCAGCTCTGTCCACACCAGTTTGGCAGAAAAAAATTAGGATCTTTAACAGTTACAACTTTCTGTCATATCAACAAAATATGCACAGTGGCCTTCTCTTCAAACAGCAGATGATACTCAGAGGCTATTTTTTTCCTTCTAATCTATCAATCAAGCAACGTCTCATTTCCTGTTTAAAATTGGCTCTAATGTGCTATGCAGTTTCCTAAGACCCAAATTTTAACTTATCTCATAAAAGGCAGTTCATTCACGAATTTCACAACTCTCTCTCTCTCTCTCTCTCTCTCTCCAATCCTGTGTCACAAGTCATTCTTTGTAATTTCAAGCCTTTGGATAGCCAGTCTACAAACAAGTCATCAAATCTATTTGTCAATAGATAGGTTTCTATACCTATATATACATATATACACACACACAAAAGGTATTGCACCATATAGCAAAGCCATGACAATTAACTTGCGTTTAACATTAAAATGATATGGTTAGCAAATTCTTTCTTCACATATTGAACTATGAAAGTGGTGGATCATATATCATGGCAAGACTATAGGGAGTCTTCTCCCTCATTTAAACTAGTATAATGACACCATTTTAAGGTTTTCTCACTCTTGACAAATTTTCAGCTTTTGACATTACATCAGTTAAGTTACTTATTTGGTTTGTATTGATTGTAGGATAAATTTGAGATTGGGGAGAATTACGAGGAGAATTCACTATCCCATCAAGTTGTGGAAAGGAAGTGTTATGCGTTACATAAAGATTGTAAGGTATGTTATGATTTAGTTATTAGTTAGTACTGTTATCATTGTTTAACTATATATGTAACAAACCCTTACAATATGGATTATGTAGCGTCGCTACGACACCGGGAAACTTAATAGGAGCAAGCTACCCTACAATCATAGTAGTGGGTCGCGATCTTTTCCGGCGGCGATGAGCATTGAGGTGAGATGTGTGTCATTGATTTTATTAACTTTATCCACACTTATTTTATATGTTATCATATTAATGAAGGAGTGTTGATCTCGGTGTTTGGCAGATCATAGGTGAAGGAAAATGGTGGCTTCTTGCCAGATATTTGCGATTTCTACAAGGACACTCATCAGCACAAGAAGACAAAAGAATGGATTGATCCTATATGCGGTGCTCTACATGCAAGTATTCCAATCATTTGGACACTTATACTAACTACTGTGTTTGATTTATATTAACAATATTCCAGTGTCACAATTACAAGAGCAAATGACGATGGTGCGGGATGAGTCTATCGAGTCTGGAACGCTCATGACACAAGAGAATATATCAAGAGTGGTTCTTGGAAAGAAGAAGGGATACCTGAGAGGTTTTGGGGTCGAACCAAAGCCCTCGTCTTGTGATTCTGGGTTGAATGCGGCATCACAAGCACGTGAGGAGCACTTGAAAAGGCTTATATCCAAGTTGGAGATACTACGTGCGGAGTAGCAGAGTGACCGTGAGGAGCATCAAAAAAAAGAAGAGGACCAACAAATAAAAGATGCAGAGAATGCAAGACAACGTCAAGAGATGTAGGGGCAGATTTTTGGACTTCAAGGCATGGTGGTGCAAGTTTTGGAAATGCTCAATCCATCAAAGTCCCCACCATAGCTACTCATGGTAATGGGTAAGTGTGTTAACCAAATTGCATTATATTTATGTTCAAAGTAAAGGCAAATAAACGTGTTATGAGAATATTAGAGAACCAATTGTGAGGCAAAAAAGGGGAAAACAGCCCATTTGGGGCCAAACATTGGAAACAGCATCGAAATAGCCTCGATATCATAATAGGCACCTCGGCCTACATTAAAAAAATGTGTGAGAGGAAGCAGCGCATTGATCGGACGCATGGTTAAAGAGTTAGACAAAAAAATGTGAGGAAAAAGGAAAAAACGGGCCTTTTGGGGGGCAATATAAACTAAAAAACCCCAAACATCCTGGAGATCATCATGGTCACCTCCGACTAGATTAAAGAAACTTGTGGGACCAAGCGGTGTGTCGATAGGACTAGGGTTGAAGCAGGTGAGAGAGGTGAAGAGTCTGTTGATGCAAGTGAAGAGTCTTTGTTAGATAAAACGGGATATTTATGTTGGTTTGCCTTAGATTTTTTTTAGCCCTGTCAAGTTTTTTCCTTGTTGGGTGTTCCTGGTTTCCTAGTGGTATGGCGTTTATGAAACCTTCTATTTGTGGCTTTGATGAATGGAACATTAAGTTGACTCATATAATTTTAGGATGATGTTATGGAAAGAAAGAAACCCACAATCTACTGAATTACTAGTAAAGACTAGTATCCCTAATTTTCATGATTATATTTTTAGAGCTGCTTATAATTTAGCTAGTTAATTGAAATCTTTTAGCTTTAGAAATTACATGGACCGAATTTCATCAGATTTGCATCAGATCTTAAAAATATTGAAGGCAAACTAGTCGGTGTCTATAGTGTTAGGTTCTTGGGACTTCTGTTACAACTAGAAGCTTGTTTACTGTAAAACTTTATTCAATATTTTTGCTGCAGTATCTAAACATTGAAATGGCTTCTCATTCCCTAACACTTTCGAAAATTCTATCGAACTTTCTTTTGTAGGAGACCCTTACAGGCACCTCATCCAAGGTTGCATTTAATAATATATTTTCAATAGATTTGAGATGTGGTAAGGGTTTGTTTGTATTTTTACGTCATAGATAAGCAAGCTTCTTCTCTACTATCTCATAGAAATGTAGACTATAGCACTTGGTAAATCAACTATCAAACATGATTTTAATTTAAGGGAAAATCCTCTTTATCCCTTAAGGGTTTGGCCTTGGAGCACTTGACTACCTGTCAATTAAAAATACCATAGACTCCTCATGTGCTTTTAGACTAAATTGCAACACTAACTCCGTAATCTTAATACCTATCTACTTTCTTCTCATTCTCTCTCTTATGTTATATATAATATATTTTTTTTATTCTAATTATAGGTTAACCAAATAAATTATTAGCCTATACACCCTAACATTATAATTTATTTTGTAAGTTATATCTTAATTTATAATTTAATCATATTATACACATATAACATTGTATATATAAATGAACAAGTTTTAGGAAACAATACACTGGAGTTATTCAAATTGGAAGACATATTTTCGGTACTGGAATTGATTTTCAGGACTAGAATGTGTGATGGTAGTGGGTGCTATTGGGTTTGTATAGAATGGTGGGTGAGGGGTGAGGGAATGGCAAGGCTAGTGGGTGAGGGGAGACGGGGTGGGCTAAGTTGGGGAGAGGGGTTGACAGGAGATGGTTGTGGAAGTGAAAAAGGATTATAGGGGTGGTGGGTGAGCAAAGTGAGTATTGTAACGGATCTAGGTGAGATGAAAGGAGATGGCAGGACAAAGGGGAGCAAGGTTTTAAAAATGGGCTGAAACTGTTATGTAACACCATTACATAATATTGCTACCCATTACAGCTGCTTTGGCAATGTGAATCAATTGCACAATTGTAACTGCTGTCATTGTTATGAACACCTGTAACAGGTTAGAAGATGATGTTAATGATGTTTAACTATTGTAAAGTTGAACAATAGTTAGAATTGATATATACATATGAATGATGTTTTATTTACAAAATGGTATTGCTAGTAATTTAATTTGTTATTGTTTCCTTTACTTTCCACTGAAATTTTTTCATTTTTTGTCCAACTTTACAATAAAGTGATGTGCAAATATTTTCAACAAAAATTTGCCTGACATTATTTCTTATTTTCTTTGGTACAGATGGATGATCTCGTGCACGAAGCTAAATTGTACAGGACTAATTGGCAGTATAAGCATTTTTGGAAGGAATATATATTTTTGGATAGATGTATGTATGGAAAAGATTTGGGTGGACTGGTAGTTATATTTTTGGATAGACTAGTAGTTATATTTTTGGATGGATGTGTATGGAAAATATTTGGGTAGATTACTAGTGTGTATATTTTTTGATAGATGCGCATGGATAACAATTTAAAACATAATAACAAGTAATTGTTATGTTAGATGGATGTGACTTGGATGATTATATAGATTACAAGTGGATTTTTAATTGGAGGAATATATAGTTTGAAATTACTTGTGGATGAAAACTTATAATAGTTGATGACTTTCATTAAACAGGTTCAAGATTGGATGATTTATGTATTTTTTCGAATGTTTATAATTCAGTTGATTTGAATGATTCTTGCAAATTACATATTATATTGAATGGATTGGATGAATTGTTATGAATTACAGGTTTATTTTGTTGGATGTTGGCGACCAAATTTTGAATTTGTTTTTTTGGTTTTGGAGACCAATTGATTAGTCGGGAAAGATAACTAATATTTTTGCCAACTAAATAAGGTAGGCGAGAGGGTACATTTGGAAACTAAATAATTAGTCATTAAAATCATTAATTTTGGCAACCAAAGGATTTCGTCGTTAATAGGTCAATTGCCGACTAAAGTTTTAGTTGCGTAAACATTCTTTTTCGTGACTAATATGTTTGGTGGTAGAGGAATGTGACAATTGGCGACCAAATTTTTTGGTCGCAGAATGTGACAATTGGCAACCAAAATTTTTGGTCGCCAAAACGGGCCACAATTGCCAACCAAACTTTTTGGTCGTGGAATGTGTTATTTGCCGACCAAATTTGTTGGTTGCGGAATGTATTGCCGACCAAAGTTTTTGGTCGTGGAATGTGACAATTGGCGACCACATTTTTTGGTCGCCAAAATGGATCACAATTGTCGACCAAAGTTTTTTGTCGTGGAAAAGGAATTACAATTGCCGATCAAACTTTTTGGTCGTTGAATGTGCGAATTGGCGACTAACATGTTTGGTCAGGAAAATATAATTTTTCGCGACTAAAAATTTTTTTAGTCGCTAATTACTTTCCGCGACCCTCAATTGGCGACCAAAGTGGTGACCAAAAAAATTAGTCGCGAATAACTTTTGCCGACCAAAAATTTAGTCGGCAAAAGTGCGAATTCTTGTAGTGAAATAAAAAACTCAAAGAAGCAGTTCCTAGAATATGGAGATAGACATAAAGAAAATCAGAGAATCAAGGAAGATTAGAACTAAGAGTCAGGCCAGAAGTCAAGTATAAAAGAGAGAACTGAGAGTAGTTTAACTTAGCCGTTGTTAGGAGTAGATTAATAATAGTTTTTTCTAACCCCCACTTCTCTTCTTTCTGTTGATTGTTGTATTGTTTCATTTTTTTATTCTTGTTTGAGTTCTTGTAATTAATAGCAAGTGACAATTTAATTGAATAAATACATATTCTGTTATATTCTATTTATTCTTTATTTAATTACCTCTAGGGAAGTCCTCAATCTGTTGAAGGCATAAAACTCAACCACAAAGTCTGATGTTTTGTGTTTATTTAAAATATGTTTAAGTTTGTTGATCAATCATTGTCGATTGGGCTTAAACCGAATTTTTGCTAACATAAATTGGCACGCCTGGTAGGTCCATTCTAACTTTAGAGTAATTGTGAAGAAAAAAATTGAAAAAACTAAGACTACTGACGCCAGCATAAAAGTTACTAACGAGTCAGGCCTTCTTGGAGATCCAAGTAAGAGGCCTACTGAAGATACAGGTGTCCGTATTGGCTTTCCCTAGTTCAGGGAAAACATGGCCGTCATTGTAGACAACCAATTAGTGGCAGCCAAGTATGGAGAAGGACTGAAAGATGACTAGGATACGACTAATGCATGCCAGTACCACAGCCTAGTGGTTGAACAGATAGAGGAATGATTATCCTGCTTGGCTATACTTTTGAAATGAGACCAAAACACCTCATAGAAAGTATGATGGCCAAACTCAAGATGTTTTGGGGATTCAGCCTTACTACTAGTCCTTTACCATTAACCAAAATGGAAACATATGTGATTAAGGTATAATTCCAAACTCCTAAGGCAAGTAAAATTCATTAGGGTAATGCCTCTTTTTATAGGCCTCTAACTCTCCAAGAGGAAGAGCAAGAGAGGTTTCACATGAAACCTAATTAGATATATAAAGAAACTAAAATTAACATCAATTATGGAGGGTAATCTAGTCTATCTAGGCCTTCTGCTCAAAGAGAGATACTGGAAGGGAAGTCACATTATAATCCAACCTTTGAAATGAATAATAGACCGATGCAAGGGGGGCAAAATTGGCTCCCAGAACAGGAAGAACCAATAAATGACATGGTCAGGCCTATGCCAAGGGGCAATTTAAAGCCCCTAGGTATGAAGAAGCTACCGTCGACAAACCAAGATTAGGGCAGTACAACTTTGCTGACCAGAGGTTTTGACAGCCAAATTATGATAACCCAAGGCCAAGAGGCAACCAAAGACCTAGGCAGCAAGTATACCAAGAGCAGGGATTCAGAAATCATGAGCCACAGAGAAGGCCTGGACTACCCCTCAACATTTTAAGGAAGGAGGTGTTGGTCTTCACCCACCTCGACAACAACACTTCTAACTATATAAGCGGTTTGCTGCACCGAACTTTCAGCCACAAATGAATGAAGCCTATCATAAGGAGCTAAACTTTGAGCTAGCCCAGGTTAACAGACATCAGATCATAGAAATAATACAAGAAATGTATGGCCCAGTCCTAAGGAGGCCTAATGGGCCAATATTTAGAAAGTCATACCCTTATTGGGTAGATGAGACCTCTCTTCCTAAAAACTTTAAAATACTTGAATTTTCCTTGTGTTAATCATGTTGTTTAATTTTAATAATGTCTAAAATATTAATTGAAAATTTGTAAATAATATACATATTTTATATTATTTAACACAAAATATTATTTAAATAAAAATATTTTTGAAAACTCTACTATTCACTTTTTGAAAAATTAGGCTGATCACTATTCATATTTTTGACAAATTGATTGATTAGCTGGCTGATCACTATTCACTTTTTGACAAAATTAAAATTGATTAATTGTATTATTTTGACAAAATCAATTGATTGGTTGTATTATCTTGACAAATGTGATATTGATGGGTTGTCTTCTTTTGACAAAATCCACCTCGAAACATCAAGAGGATGAGGAAGATGATTCTGATAATGTGGGGGAAATGACATTCATTACTAGGAAATTCAAAAGGTTTGTGAAAAAGAAACAAGGTGTGCGAAAATTTTTCAAAAAAGATTTCAATAATAGGGATTTTCAAAGGGGAGAAAATCACAAAAAATCTGAAGTTACCTGCTACGAATGCAACAAACCTGGACACTACAAATCAGAATGTCCGGAACTTAAGAAACAATTCAAGAAAGACAAGAAGAAAGCCATGATTGGAGCATGGAGAGAAGATAACAATGAAAGCAACTCAAAAACCGAAGTTTGCAAAAATGAGGTTGCTAACCTATGCTTAATGGCACTTGGAAACGAAGATGAGGTAAATAACGAATATTTTATGTTTGATGAATTACAATCAGCTTTTGATGAATTACATGCTGAATTTATAAAACTTAGTTTGAAAAGTAACTGTTAAAAGAAAATGATTTCAAGTTTATCAAAAGAAAATGAATCCTTAACTTCCAAAATAAATACTTTAGAAAATGAAGCCATGAAAATGAAAAAGAAAAATGAGATTTTAACTCGAAAAGAGTTTTCAATTTATGAGAAAAAATTAGTTGTATTACAAGAAGAAAATGAGTCTTTAAAAAAGGAGCAAATAGTTTTGAAAGAAAATATTGAAGACTTGAAAAATACTCTTTCAAAATTCACTCAAGGTAGAGAGACTTTAGATAAAATTCTTAAAAGCCAAAATCATACTTTTGGTAGAGTCGGAATTGGATATAAACCTTTTTCAAAAGTAAAAACTGTCAAAAATCGTTTTGTGTATGCATCTTCTAGTCACTTTCATCTCATATGTCATTTTTGTGGTACGAAAGGTCATATTTCACCTTCATGTTCAGTTAAAAGAAATCCTTTCGTTAAAATAAAAAATCTGTGGGTCCCTAAAGACATTTCAAGAGTGACAAATTCTAACTTTTATGGACCAAAGAAAATATGGGTACCAATAGAAAAATCAAATTTGTGTAGGTATGTTTCAAGACAAAATCCAGTAACGATAGATGGTATCTCGACAGTGCATGTTCGAGGCACATGACTAGAAATAAAGCTATGTTCGCCACACTCCAACCAAAGGATGGTGGATATGTGACTTTCGGCAACAATAGCAAGGGTAAAATCATAGGTGTAGGTAGTATCGGTAAAAATCCTTCTCCTATTATTGAAAATGTTTTACTTGTTGAAGGTTTAAAACATAACTTGCATAGCATTAGTCAATTATGTGATAAAGGATATAGAGTTATTTTTGAGAAAACTGATTGCACTATTGAGAACACCCTAGAAAACAAAACTTTATTTGTAGGTTATAGACATGAGAATGTATATGTGTTTGATTTGCATAATATGTCTTCTCATTTTAATATTAAATGTTTATCTGCTATAAATAATAATGGTTGGCTTTGGCATAGAAGATTATGACATGCTCATTTTGATTTAATTTCCAAACTTTCAAAAAGTGAGTTAGTCATTGGTTTACCAAAAATTGGTTTTGATAAAGACAAACTTTGTGATGCATGTCAATTTGGAAAACAAACTAGAATTTATTTTAAATCCAAAAATATCGTTTCAACTACTAAACCACTTCAACTCTTGCATATTGATTTATTCGGACCATCTAGAACATTAAGTTTAGGAGGAAAATCGTATGCTCTTGTTTGTGTTGATGATTATACTAGATATATATAGGTATTCTTTCTAGCACACAAAAATGAAGCTTTTTATAATTTCTCAAGACTTTGTAAAAGAATTCAAAATGAAAAAAATCTTAATATTTGTAGTATTAGAAATGATCATGGTAGAGAATTTGAAAATGATGATTTTATTATGTTTTGTGATGAGTTTGGAATTGATCATATTTTTTCTACCCTTAGAACTCCTCAACAAAATGGTATAGTTGAAAGAAAAAATAGAACTCTTGAAGAAATGGCCCGTACTATGCTTTGTGAAA